GCAAACAGCAGAGCGTTCAGTGCCCTGGCCACCCTGCCGCTGGCGAGTCTGGCAGGCTCATCACTAGTAGGTGAAATAGGTCGCTATCTGGTCAGGTCCTTGTGCTTAGGAATCACATACTAGGCTTGACCAAAAGTACCAGACGGATTCCATTTCCCCAATCCCTGCAAGCGCTTCCCGTCAAAATCATCTTTTATTAGCTTTAACAAAGAATCTACCTCTAATGCAAACGGCGAGAAGGACAAGTTTCATTCAAAGGTCATGGAGAGGAAATGCCGATAGATGACCGAACAAACAATCAAAGTGTCAACAATGTTGCGATCTATCGGTACACACACAAATGCCCTCAATCTGGCATACCAAGTCGTAAGTCCTAAGGATGGATCCAAATTATCACTAGAAGTACCATCCAGCCAACAAGCCGACAAATCACGATAAAAAATGACATAGTTGGAACGTAAGTAGTTTGCAACCGCCACTAACTGCTTACCGAGTGCAATTCGTCCGTGCAACGGCAAGATCCTAGGGATATTTCGCGAGTTAAGCAACAGAGAAGGAACCCCAGGAATCTTCCTGATACGAGAACAGACATGCATTCCAGTCCGTTTCCAAGTAGGTTCAGAAAAGCAACAACAAGATGGTGGATCCTTTGAGCGGGAGAACTGATGGAAATTCCAAAGATAGCGGGAAACCGGGAAACCGGCTTGTTTTTCCGCCAAACAAATCTAACATTTTTTCGTACTAACTCCTTAACCCCGGCATGCAACTCCGATGCATCTAATAGGCGATGAACCAGATCGTGAACCTTCGCGGAACTCAGACAATGATCGTAGAACATCCGTACAACTACCCTTCGTCGTACGTCGATCCCGGTACGTGACTGAATAGATTTGGCCATAATACCTCTTAGTGTAGTTCTAGTAGCCTTCCTCGAGAAATCACGGATAGCACGGTACCAATGGATGAGTAAGCCCACTGATTTAAACTTCAGCAGCCGGCGACGCCAGGGCTGGTGTAGGAGCACCCGGAGATGTCCCTTAGATATCGCCCTACCACTCGGAGTAAAGACAATCGGCCCAAAACGCCAGATTCCACCTTGCTCGATGGTACTCTTAAGCTCCCTTCACGCAAAACACGCCTTCCCAATACGTACCGCAGCAAGCCCAAAGAATTGCCTAATTAGGGGCCACGTGTCAGCCCAGAGCGAACCCCCAGAAACCTCCACCCATACATACCTCTCATTCTAGGAACAGGCCGAACACAAAATAGACAAGATACTATCGGACCAGACCCCCCCTACCTTACGAAATTTCAGAATGCAGATTTGAAGGTTGATAACCTCCTTACCTTTCCTTCTAATCCTTGCAGGTCGAGAGGGTCGTCGGTGATAGGTCGCGAGATAAATGACAGGTAA